GTCATACATACAGTGGGGAGAACAAGTATTTGATACACTGCCGATTTTGCAGATTTTCCTACTTACAAAGCATGTAGAGGTCTGTAATTTCTATCATAGGTACACTTCAACTGTGAGACACGGAATCTAAAACAAAAATCCAGAAAATCACATTGTATGATTTTTAAGTAATTAATTTGCATTTTATTGCATGACATAAGTATTTGATACATCAGAAAAGCAGAACTTAATATTTGGTACAGAAACCTTTGTTTGCAATTACAGAGATCATACGTTTCCTGTAGGTCTTGACCAGGTTTGCACACACTGCAGCAGGGATTTTGGCCCACTCCTCCATACAGACCTTCTCCAGATCCTTCAGGTTTCGGGGCTGTCGCTGGGCAATACGGACTTTCAGCTCCCTCCAAAGATTTTCTATTGGGTTCAGGTCTGGAGACTGGCTAGGCCACTCCAGGACCTTGAGATGCTTCTTACTGAGCCACTACTTAGTTGCCCTGGCTGTGTGTTTCGGGTCATTGTCATGCTGGAAGACCCAGCCACGACCCATCTTCAATGCTCTTACTGAGGGAAGGAGGTTGTTGGCCAAGATCTCACGATACATGGCCCCATCCATCCTCCCCTCAATACGGTGCAGTCATCCTGTCCCCTTTGCAGAAAAGCATTACCAAAGAATGATGTTTCCACCTCTATGCTTCACGGTTGGGATGGTGTTCTTGGGGTTGTACTCATCCTTCTTCTTCCTCCAAACACGGCGAGTGGAGTTTAGACCAAACAACTATATTTTTGTCTCATCAGACCACATGATCTTCTCCCATTCCTCCTCTGGATCATCCAGATGGTCATTGGCAAACTTCAGACGGACCTGGACATGCGCTGGCTTGAGCAGGGGGACCTTGCGTGCGCTGCAGGATTTTAATCCATGACGGTGTAGTGTGTTACTAATGGTTTTCTTTGAGACTGTGGTCCCAGCTCTCTTCAGGTCATTGACCAGGTCCTGCCGTGTAGTTCTGGGCTGATCCCTCACCTTCCTCATGATCATTGATGCCCCACGAGGTGAGATCTTGCATGGAGCCCCAGACCGAGGGTGATTGACCGTCATCTTGAACTTCTTCCATTTTCTAATAATTGCGCCAACAGTTGTTGCCTTCTCACCAAGCTGCTTGCCTATTGTTCTGTAGCCCATCCCAGCCTTGTGCAGGTCTACAATTTTATCCCTGATGTCCTTACACAGCTCTCTGGTCTTGGCCATTGTGGAGAGGTTGGAGTCTGTTTGATTGAGTGTGTGGACAGGTGTCTTTTATACAGGTAATGAGTTCAAACAGGTGCAGTTAATACAGGTAATGAGTGGAGAACAGGAGGGCTTCTTAAAGAAAAACTAACAGGTCTGTGAGAGCCGGAATTCTTACTGGTTGGTAGGTGATCAAATACTTATGTCATGCAATAAAATGCAAATTAATTACTCAAAAATCATACAATGTGATTTTCTGGATTTTCGTTTTAGATTCCGCCTCTCACAGTTGAAGTGTACCTATGATAAAAATTACAGACCTCTACATGCTTTGTAAGTAGGAAAACCTGCAAAATCGGCAGTGTATCAAATACTTGTTCTCCCCACTGTATATGTGGTGGTGATACAGAATGATTTGGATGGATTGGAATGGGATGACTTGGAGAAGGCATAAGCTTGTTTTATAAAATACATTGTAGTCATTTTGGTTTGTATATTCCAAATACCAACGTCTGTGGTTGTTCCATGTTTTTTAATGATAAATAGTATGTAAGTATTCATTTTGAGGATGTAATGTATCATTATGCACTGAGTGTACAAAACATTAGGAACAAGTTCTTAATATTGAATTGCACCCCCTTTCGCCATCAGAACAGCCTCAATTCGTCGGGGCGTGGACTCTACAAGGTGTCGAAAGCGTTCCACTGGGATGCTAGACTATATTGACTCCAATTCTTCCCACAGTTGCGTCAAGTTGGCTGGATGTCCTGTGGGTTGTGGACCATTCTTGATACACACGGGAAACTGTTGAGCGTGAAAAACCCAGCACCGTTGCAGTTCTTGACACACTCAAACCAATTCCCCTGGCACCAACTACCATACCCCTTTCAAAGGCACTTAAATACTTTGTCTTACCCATTCACCCTTTGAATTGCACACATACACAATCTATGTCTCAATTGTCTCAAGGCTTAAAAATCCTTCTTTAACCTGTCTCCTCACCTTCATCTACACTGATTGAAGTGGATTTAACAGGTGACATCAATAAGGGATTATACATTTCACCTTGATTCACCTTGTCAGTCTAAATCATGTTCTGTACACTCAGTGTATATGTTGTTTAACATCCCCCTCTAGTGGCTCAAATAAGACACAACGCCTTCAACAAGCGCAGTAAATATGAAATATACAATACTGCATGATATCAGATAACGTCCAAGTCTAACTCAATGGTGTATTGTAGTAAGTAGTTGATGGTCAAATGTATGAATATGCAATTATGTGTAATGCTTTATATTAATGTTTAGTAATAAACGATTTGTAAGGCATTTACAGTTTGCTCACCATTTATTAATTATTATGCCCACATTTGCTAAATGTTAGTAAGCTGTAGGTATTCTCACATTTAGAAATAACTACTACAGCATATGCATTAATTATTCAACACAACAGCGCAGGAGACTGCAGCAGACACTTTAACCTCAACATATTGGTTACTTTTTGTAAACTTTAAGTTAATTTAGTAAATATTTGGTTAAGGGCTTGGGTTCCCCCGGTTGGTAATTTGACCATGATTATTACAAGATTAGACTGCTGGCTATACTAATTTACAAATCTATTTTTTAAAAACTGATATAACAAGGGAAAAACTGATGATGCACAATTTTCACCTTGATTCACCTTGTCAGTCTAAATCATGTTCTGTACACTCAGTGTATATGTTGTTTAACATCCCCCTCTAGTGGCCCAAATAAGACACAACACCTTCAACAAGCGCAGTAAATATGAAATATACAATACTGCATGATATCAGATAACGTCCAAGTCTAACTCAATGGTGTATTGTAGTAAGTAGTTGATGGTCAAATGTATGAATATGCAATTATGTGTAATGCTTTATATTAATGTTTAGTAATAAACGATTTGTAAGGCATTTACAGTTTGCTCACCATTTATTAATTATTATGCCCACATTTGCTAAATGTTAGTAAGCTGTAGGTATTCTCACATTTAGAAATAACTACTACAGCATATGCATTAATTATTCAACACAACAGCGCAGGAGACTGCAGCAGACACTTTAACCTCAACATATTGGTTACTTTTTTGTAACTTTTTTTATTTTTTTAACTTAAGTTAATTTAGTAAATATTTTCTTAACTCTATTTTCTGAAAAATGCATTGTTGGTTAAGGGCTTGTAAGTAAGCATTTCACGGTAAGGCCCACGCCTGTTGTATTCGGCGAATGTGACAAATACAATTTTATTTTATTTTATTTGATATGAACACTACCAGTACTCTCCCTACCACTACTCTCACAACATCACTGCTGCCAGGTCAGGGGTCAGGGGTCACGTCAGAGCAGCTTCCTCCAGGTCAGGGGTCAGGGGTCACGCCAGAGCAGCTCCCTCTGACGCTGTAGAGTCTGAATGAATATAGAGATCGGGTAACACTTTATAATAACACCTAGTAGTAAAGTATTTATAATGGATTAGTAAATAGTTTATTCATCATTCATTTATCATTACTCCCACATTTGTTTTATCAAGCTAGTTATTCAAACATTTAGAAACAACTTTTATAGTATGTAATAATGATTTATAAGATCATTCATAAGATGTTTAATAAATGTCCTTATAAACCATTTACAAATCATTAGTAAAGTATTTTTGCAGACCCTAATCTAAAGTGAGGACTATTCATACTTTCTTAATACTTTATAAATGTTTTGAGTGACCAGTGTAATTTCTCACAAAAAGATGGACATGCCATTGGTAGACATTCCAGCAGTACCTGATGCTCCTTAAGGTCTCAAAATGACCTAGAACATATCAATGGTTAAACAATAAGCACACAACACAGAGGATGTTAAAGGAAATATATGAACATTTTATTCCAAAACAGTCACACTGTTGTAGTAGTGTGCTGAAAGTGGTAACGTGTTTTGTCTGAAAATGCTAACATTCGTGTTTGTTGGCAGTGACTACCAAAACCAAAGGGTGGATTGTAGTCACTCATTAGAGCAGTTCTTAGACTGCTTACAGGGTAAGGGAACCAATATCTAAATACATAATTTAACTGAACATTATGTTTAAAAGGTTACTAGTTTTAATACACTACAAGTGAAGTTGTCCACATACTTATGACTTCTTCAAATGGGGGGACTAGATACATAAGGTGTTTTCGTTTTTTAATGGTAAAACAGATATGTATGAATATACCCTCAAAATAAAGGTGACATTCTATATTGTCGCCTCATGTTAAACATTTGATCTCAAATCCAAACTACTGGAGTAAAGAGCCAAATGTAAAAACCGTTTTACTGCAGAGTTTTACACCCACTGGGCACACACTGGTTGAATCAACTTTTTTTCAATGAAATTACGTTGAACCAACGTGGAGTATACATTGAATTGACATCTGTGCCCAGTGGGCAGAGATTGCTTTCAGTATGTGCAGTGGCCATAGGAAGGCAGTATAATTCACAATCTGAAACAGAGGGATAACTTGACTCATTCTACATGAAATAGAAGTATGTCTGTTCTATGAAGTCAATTTCTATCTTCACTTTCTGTGTTCGGTGAAAAGTGTGCCGGTATCAAACTGAGAAGAGACCATCTGTCTGAATAATACCAAAGCCTTTTCATCACAGGAAACAACCAGAATTTATGGCTTTTATTATGAATGATCAAACTTTACTTAAATGTACTCCACCAACCAGCCACTTTCTTCAAGTTAATGTTAATCCCCTTTTCACACCTCCCAAAGTATTTCATCTGCAGCCACATTCATCCAACACCATGTCCTGGTAGTGACGTAGGACTATGTTGTTGTTGTTGTCGTAGTAGAGCATTGAGACAGGTGACAGGTGGATGGAAACGCAGCAGGGCTGGGGCATGCTGCGGGGGTCCAGGGAGTGCACCAGTGTCTGCAGGACGGCGTGGTTGGTGCAGTTCAGGCTCTCGCTCAGTGGGAACGGGCACTCTCCGTGGCAGTAGTTGGCCAGGTAGCCCTGCGGAGCGATGATCCAGTCCTGCCAGCCCACATCCTTGAAGTCGATGTAGAGGCGGCGGGGCTTACACACGTTTCTGGGCATCACCGGGAGGTAGACGGCGCTCCTCTTCTGCCGAGAGCGGCACTGGAGCGGGTTCAGGGATACAGCCACCAGTGAGGCCTGGAACTCTGGGAGGGTTACAGTCGGCCTGAAGGGGACAGCCTTCCCCCGGATGGTGGGACATGAAGGTGTCTGTGGTCAGGGTGTGGACTGGATGTGGCTGCAGCTCCAGCACCAGTCTGTAGTTATGACCCTGTTTACGCCAGTTCTCTGCCAGTACCAAGTTTTAATGACTCCAACCTAAGTGTATGTAAACTTCCGACTTCAACTGTACTTCAACAAAGTACTGAGTAAAGGGTCTGAAAACGTATTTAAATGTTATATTTCAGTGTTTTGTTTTTAATCATTTTTTTAAAATATAAAAACTGTTTATGCTTTGTCATTATGGGGTATTGTGTGTAGATTGATGAGGGAAAACATGTTTTAAAATCAATTTTAAAATAAGGCTGTAACGTAACAACATTTTGAAAAAGTCAAGGGGTCTTATACTTTCCGAATGCACTGTAATTTCTTGCAATTCTACACATTTTGCCATGGGGAGTAAAGACAATGTTGCAGTTTTAAAGCAAGTTTCCTGCAATTCTACTCATTTTGCCATGGGGCTGAGAATATTTTTTTGCAGTTTTAGAGCTAATTTCCTGCAATTCTACTAATTTTGTCGTAGGGTGAAGATAAATGTTTTCAGTTTTGAATATGATATCTGAGTTAGAGTGCCTAACAAAATCAATGGGGATCCCCAGTTGGTAATTTGACCATGATTACTACAAGTTTAGACTGCTGGCTATACTAATTTACAAATCTAAAAAATGTTAACTGACATAACAAGGGAAAAACTGCTGATGCACAACGAAATGCCACAATTTTACCTGTATTCTACTATTCTAACTCTTACCATCAAGTTGAGACCCTGACTGAGTTCTGTGGGGATTTATTTTCTCATAACTGGATGGGATGACTAACTTAGAAAGAATGCATTAATGATTAAAACGTAGAAGGTTTGTACTGTGCTGATATGGATTGTTTCACATAACAAGCTGTGATTCATGTGAGGAACGTTAGGGGGTAGGATGAGATAAGAACTTGTGTCTCAAAATACTAGACTACACTGCTTCTTTGTGATCTGTGAACCGTCCAAGGACGTGTACTGCAAAAGTGCTGACTTTCTGGATAAGTTGCAAAACAACTTATGCCTGGCAACAGTGGAGCGCCAAGGGGATGGGACCAGCCTGTGCGCCAACGGATTGGCTGAGTAAGTCTAAACCACGCTCAGTCTCTACTCTGATTGGCCAGCAGGGAGCGGGAACTATCTCTGTCAGAGTATTTTAAGAAGAACTCATAACAATGGACCAGTTCTCTGAGTGCCCTGCGACGTATTTCAGTGGACCCGTATATACGAACATCATATTTACCATTGAAGTGGTTTGCATTAATTAAAATACTAGTCTATTTTAGAAGACGTGTATTGACCTCTTTTGTTCCTAATACCAGATTTGAATTGACGCAACTTAACAGTTCCTAATCATATAATGAAAGAATATATATATATATTTTAAGATGAGATCCGCATAAGGTGAAACAGAACCATTGAGGAGCATCCTGCATCGTGGTAAAAAAATTGCATAGTACATACTGTTCAATGATGTCTGAGGGGAAAAAACGAACTTCCTTGTTTGAAGTAACTTTGTTGTTGTAATATCGCAAACGGAGTTGGCAGTTTCACCGCTATGGTTTCCAGCTTTAAAGGATAATTTCACTGGAAAACATGAATCAAAGTGTCACCTGCCACATCATCATATGATGCAAAATTAATCATATGATGCAAAACGCATCATCATGATGATGTGGCAGGTGACACTTTGCTTCTTGAAAATCCACTATCTTAGAAACTTTACAACAGACATGCAAAACACACCCGCCCAGCGGTCACATGGTTGAAGGACGGTCGACTAATCACAGGCCAGTGTGGGGCTCAAGTGCTGAACAAGGGGCGTCTGCTGCAGATAAAGGACGCCAAGGTGTTGGACACAGGACTCTACACGTGTGGCTGTGAATGTGCCGGGACAGGCCAACAGCAAGCATGACATCAACATACATGGTGAGACTCACCAACGTACCATAACATAACATAGAGAGTGGGAGGGGCTATCCTCTATGAAATGGAGTATACGTCAGAAAATAAAACTTCAAATCACCTACACCTGCTAATCTGATCTATAGTATGATGTCTTCATGCCTTCATGTTTATCTGCCATTTGGGTCCACATTCTGTACGTGATGTGTTTCTATATGTGTGTTAATATACGAATGTGTTTTGTCCCTCCAGACTCCCCCAGGATCTGTGGTCAGAACCAGGTCCCAGAAAATGTGAGTGTGGTGGTGAACAACCCTGTGAGGCCTCTGGCATCCCTCTTCCTGCTATCACCTGGCTGAACGATGGAAACACAGCAGCACAGGAGACCGCAGCAGACACTTCAACCTCAACGTACTGGGTATGAACACTACCACTGCTCTCACTACCACTGCTCTCACTACCACTGCTCTCACTACCACTGCTCTCACTACCACTGCTCTCACTACCACTACTCTCACTACCACTGCTCTCACTACCACTACTCTCACTACCACTGCTCTCACTACCACTGCTCTCACTACCACTGCTCTCACTACCACTACTCTCACTACCACTGCTCTCACTACCACTGCTCTCACTACCACTGCTCTCACTACCACTACCCTCTCACTACCACTACTCTCACTACCACTACTCTCACTACCACTGCTCTCACTACCACTGCTCTCACTACCACTGCTCTCACTACCACTGCTCTCACTACCACTGCTCTCACTACCACTGCTCTCACTACCACTGCTCTCACTACCACTGCTCTCACTACATCACTGCTGCCAGGTCAGGGGTCACACCAGAGCAGCTCTCTCACGTGCTGTTGAGTCTTTTGGTATGTAAGATATGTCTAAATTGATTCTTGATCATAATATATATGTGTCGATCCTGGATCATGCCCCATGAAATCAGGATCTGCCAACTAAGAGAGGATATAAAAAAAAAGAAAAGACATTTCAGTTCTGTACTTGTGAAAATGTCTTGTTATTTGTCAGAACACTATAGAGAGTGGTGTAGGATTGAGACTTGAGTGAGGTTATGGGTAGGTGTAGTCTGAAAACCTACTTCTTCATGGTAGCCCTGCCTGGTACTTCAAAATCAGTGTCACCCTCGGTCCAAGAGGTACTTCCTTCTTGGCCTATTGGTTCAGATGTTGGTTTTCCACTCAGGATACCAGGGTTCAGATCCTATCTGTGACAGAGTCATGATTCAGAGGCAGGATAACTACAAACTAAAGCAGGAAGCACCTGTGACTCGGTCAATAAAAAAAGTGGTCAGATGAAGCAGATGCTAAGCTACAGGACTGTTTTGCTAGGACAGACTGGAATATGTTCTGGGATTCTTCAGATAGCATTGAGGAGTACACCACATCAGTCACTGGCTTCATCAATAAGTGCATCTATGACGTCGTCCCCACAGTGACTGTACGTACATACCCCAACCAGAAGCCATGGATTACAGGCAACATCCGCACTGAGCTAAAGGGTAGAGCTGCCGCTTTCAAGGAACGGGACTCTAACCCGGAAACTTATAAGAAATCCCGCTATGCCCTCCAACGAACCATCAAACAGGCAAAGCGTCAATACAGGACTAAGATCGAATCGTACTATACCGGCTCCGACGCTCGTCGGATGTGGCAGGGCTTGCAAACCACACAAAAGACAATAGAGGTGTACTCAGGTTCACTTTGAATGTTTATGCTGTATTAGGACCTTACTGGAGTAAAGCATTTGTGTTTCTCCAACACCTTTCATTGGTAGATTTCCTTAGAGTTTTGGACCTCATTATTCCAGAGCCTTGCATACAGGTAATAACAGGACCCTCGATGTGAGAAACTTAAACAAATCAAACTAATATCAATAAAAAGAGATGTTCACTTACACGGTATAGACAACCTGTAACAGGTTGAGTTTTGCTGATGTAATATGCTCTTTAGGGAATCATGCAGAGGTGAAATCATATTTTTTTGGTCTGTCATTTAACAGACGCTGTTATCATTATTTTTCACCTAGTTAGCTCATGGATTCGAACCAGCAACCTTTCAATTATTTGCCCAACATCTTAACCTCTAGGCTACCTGCCGCCGGTGTTTGAGAATTGTGTTTGTTGTGATTAATATTGTTGTAGTTATTGTATGTTCATGTTCACAGGGCTTCCTTGCAAATGAGACCCTGGTCTCAATGGTGACCCACCCTGTATAAATAAAAGTACAAAATATATACTTATTTTCCACCATATTTGCAAATAAATTCATAAAAAATCCTACAATGTAATTTTCTGGATTTTTTTTTCTCAATTTGTCTGTCATAGTTGACGTGTACCTATGATGAAAATGACAGGCCTCTCTCATCTTTTTAAGTGGGAGAACTTGCACAATTGGTGGCTGACTAAATACTTTTTTCCCCCACTGTATATATATATAAATGTAGTAGATGTATTTGAGTGTGTGGTTGACACCTTTCATTGGTAGAGTGATATAAGTGTCATTATGACAGAGCCCAGCATGTTTCCAATATGTGAATATGTTAATGTGTGACTTGTGTACTAATGTTCCAGTTTTCCGTACGTCGTGTCATATATTGGGTTGTGTTTGTGTATTTCTATGCTGACGTCTCTAAATGAATTTCCATGTAAATGGACAATAAAGTATATGGTATCGTAGCGCAAACAGGACCCTCTGGAATCTGAGAGAACAGCAACTAACTATATTTATTAAAATAAAAATATAATCAAATGATTGACAACCTTGATGAAGCTGAGAAATAATGACTGTATCGAAAGAAGAGGAGTGTGCTCAACCAACGTGAGTCGAGGTGCAAAAAATATAATCATCATTGCAAAGGAAAAGGCACAACACTTCCTCGCCATTAAAAATGATTTGTTTTATTTAAGCAAGGTTAAGAGGTAAACGTTTCAGCCTTCAATGGCCTTCATCAGAATAATCACACAAAGGGAATGGACAAGTTCACATAGGGTACGGGGAACACAATTAGACAGAGAGAAAACTCTCTACAGCTGCTGGTGCTAATGAGAGAGGGGGTGGTGGACTATACAGGTTGGTCCTCAGGGTGATGAGTGAGGAAGTTACAGAGGGTCAAAGATCATACCTCCCCAAAACTGCTAACCTCCCCTATTATTGGTAATGGTGAGAGGTTACATGGGGCATTACTCTCAAGGTAGCAGGCTGGCTGAAAAACATCAAGGGGGATGACTGGGTCAGAATACTGTAGGGTGATGTCTGCCAGAGAAAAGCAGCAAAAACTCTAGCTATTGTTGTTTTCACCTATCTAGGTTGTTGGATTCCATTTTATTTTTATTTACTTTTTTTTTCATTGACAATGTATCATTATTTATCATCAGCTGTCTGCCACTTGTTAATTCCTTAATTAATCCAATAATTTATGCTTTCTTTTATCCATGGTTCAAAGTAACAGCTAAACTTATTTTAACTTTGAAGTTAAGATGTTCATAGTTCCTATGTTTTTATTCCTAAATATGACACACATAGGTTTGATATGTTTTGTAATATACACTGCTCAAAAAAATAAAGGGAACACTTAAACAACACAATGTAACTCCAAGTCAATCACACTTCTGTGAAATCAAACTGTCCACTTAGGAAGCAACACTGATTGACAATAAATGTCACATGCTGTTGTGCAAATGGAATAGACAACAGGTGGAAATTATAGGCAATTAGCAAGACACCCCCAATAAAGAAGTGGTTCTGCAGGTGGTGACCACAGACCACTTCTCAGTTCCTATTCTTCCTGGCTGATGTTTTGGTCACTTTTGAATGCTGGCGGTGCTTTCACTCTAGTGGTATTATGAGACGGAGTCTACAACCCACACAAGTGGCTCAGGTAGTGCAGCTCATCCAGGATGGCACATCAATGCGAGCTGTGGCAAGAAGGTTTGCTGTGTCTGTCAGCGTAGTGTCCAGAGCATGGAGGCGCTACCAGGAGACAGGCCAGTACATCAGGAGACGTGGAGGAGGCCGTAGGAGGGCAACAACCCAGCAGCAGGACCGCTACCTCCGCCTTTGTGCAAGGAGGAGCAGGAGGAGCACTGCCAGAGCCCTGCAAAATGACCTCCAGCAGGCCACAAATGTGCATGTGTCTGCTCAAACGGTCAGAAACAGACTCCATGAGGGTGGTATGAGGGCCCGACGTCCACAGGTGGGGGTTGTGCTTACAGCCCAACACCGTGCAGGACGTTTGGCATTTGCCAGAGAACACCAAGATTGGCAAATTCGCCATTGGCCCCTGTGCTCTTCACAGATGAAAGCAGGTTCACACTGAGCACATGTGACAGACGTGACAGAGTCTGGAGACGCCGTGGAGAACGTTCTGCTGCCTGCAACATCCTCCAGCATGACCGGTTTGGCGGTGGGTCAGTCATGGTGTGGGGTGGCATTTCTTTGGGGGCCGCACAGCCCTCCATGTGCTCGCCAGAGGTAGCCTGACTGCCATTAGGTACCGAGATGAGATCCTCAGACCCCTTGTGAGACCATATGCTGGTGCGGTTGGCCCTGGGTTCCTCCTAATGCAAGACAATGCTAGACCTCATGTGGCTGGAGTGTGTCAGCAGTTCCTGCAAGAGGAAGGCATTGATGCTATGGACCGCCCGTTCCCCAGACCTGAATCCAATTGAGCACATCTGGGACATCATGTCTCGCTCCATCCACCAACGCCACGTTGCACCACAGACTGTCCAGGAGTTGGCGGATGCTTTAGTCCAGGTCTAGGAGGAGATCCCTCAGGAGACCATCCGCCACCTCATCAGGAGCATGCCCAGGCGTTGTAGGGAGGTCATACAGGCACGTGGAGGCCACACACACTACTGAGCCTCATTTTGACTTGTTATAAGGACATTACATCAAAGTTGGATCAGCCTGTAGTGTGGCTTTCCACTTTAATTTTGAGGGTGACTCCAAATCCAGACCTCCATGGGTTGATAAATTTGATTTCCATTAATAATTTCTGTGTGATTTTGTTGTCAGCACATTCAACTATGTAAAGAAAAAAGTATTTCATAAGATTATTTCATTCATTCAGATCTAGGATGTGTTATTTTAGTGTTCCCTTTATTTTTTTGAGCAGTGTATTTGTTGTAATTGCTTCTTTCATGTAACAATACACTGACATTATTCATCTCAGTGTTGTCATCATAGATACATGTGGTGTTGATGCAGAATGATTTGGATGGATTGGAATGGAATGACTTGGAGAAGGTATATGAAGGCATAAGCTTGTTTTATAAAATACATTGTAGTCAATTTGGTTTGTATATTCCAAATACCAAAGTCTGTGGTTGTTCCATGTTATTTAATGATAAAAAGGAAGTATTCCAATAGTACATTCCGAGGACGTCAAGATTCATTCTATATGTTGTTTAACATCTCCCTCTAGTGGCTCAATTGGGACACAACGTCTTCAACAAGTGCAGTAAAGTTGAAATGTACAATAATGCATGATATCAGATAACTTCCAGGTCTAACTCAATGGTGTATTGTAGTAGTTCATGGTGAAATGTAAGAATATGCATTTATGGATAAAACTTTAATGTTCAGTAATAAACCATTTGTACGGCATTTACAGTTTGCTCACCATGTATTAATCATTACTGACAGATTTGTTAAATGTTAGTAAGCTAGGTATTTTCACATTTATAAATAACTACTAAATGCATTAATGATTCATAGTGTCAGATTGCTGCCAGGTCAGGGGTCATGCCAGAGCAGCTCTCAGATGCTGTTGAGTCTGAATGAATATAGAAATTGGGTACCACTTTATAATAACACCTTGTAATAAATAATATTTAATGGATTAAGAAATAGTTTATTCATTTATTCATAATTACTCCCACATTTGTGTTACTAAGCTAGTTGTTCACACATTTATAAATAACTTTTATAGTATGTAATAACATCCTTCATAAGATGTTTGATAAATGTCCTTGTAACCCATTTACCAATCATTGGCAAAGTTGTGTTGCAGTCCCTAAAGCGAGGACTATTCATCCTTAATAAACGTTGAGTGACCATTGTAAATTCTCACAAAAAGATGGACATGCCATTGGTAGACATTCCAGCAGTACCTGATGCTCCTTAAGGTCTCAAAATGACCTAGAACATATCAATGGTTAAACAATAAGCACACAACACAGAGGATGTTAAAGGAAATATACTGAACGTTTTATTCCAAAACAGTCACACTGTTTTAGTAGTATGCTGAAGGAAGCAACGTATTTTCTCTGAAAATGCTAACATTCGTGTTTGTTGGCGTGACTACCAAAACCAAAGGGTGGATTGTAGTCACTCATTAGAGCAGTTCATAGACTGCTTACAGGGTAAGGGAACCAATATCTAAATACATAATTTAACTGAACATTATGTTTAAAGGGTTACTCCCTTTAATACACCACAAGTGAAGTTGTCCAAATTCTTATGGCTTCTTCAAATGGGGGGACTAGATACATAAGGTGTTCTAATTTACATATGAAAATACCCTCAAATAAAAGGTGTCATTCTATAATGTCGCCTCATATTAAACATTTGATGTCAAATCCAAAAATGATTTGTACATGGTACAGGCTCTAAAGAAGGTAACTCAGCCATCTACACAGCCGTCGGCAACACAGCCAAGGAGTACAAAACTAAACTTAAGAATGGGAAACATAGTAATAGCTTACATAGAACAGATCTACCGCTTCTTTCAATGAGAATGACAGCTCTATAACTCATATTTCTATGTGAATTTGGACGGGTCACCCAAAAAGTTACATATTGCAGCTTTAAAAAGTAAATATTTTCTTCATCATTTATCATTACACACACATTAGTTTTAGTAATTTATTCACACATTTATAAACAACTTTTGTAGTGTTCATACCCAGTATGTTGAGGTTGAAGTGTCTGCTGCGATCTCCTGCGCTGTTGTGTTTTATCATTAATGCATAGAGTAGTTATATATCAATGTGAAAATACCTAGCTTACTAACATTTAACAAATGTGGGAGTAATGATTAATAAATGGTGAGCAAACTGTAAATGCCTTACAAATGATTTATTACGGAACACTATAAAGTGTTACCCATAATTGCATATTCTTACATTTCACCATGAACTACTACAATACACCATTGAGATAGACTTGGACGTTATCTGATATCATGCATTATTGTACATCTAAACTCTACCACACTTGATGAAGGCGTTGTGTCCCAATTGAGCCACTAGAGGGTGATGTTAAACAACATATAGAATGAATCTTGACGTCCTCGGAATGTACTATTGGAATACTTCCTTTTTATCATTAAATAACATGGAACAACCACAGACTTTGGTATTTGGAATATTCAACCCTAAATGACTACAATGTATTTTATAAAACAAGCTTATGCCTTCATATACCTTCTCCAAGTCATTCCATTCCAATCCATCCAAATCATTCTGTATCACCACCACATGTATCTATGATGACAACACTGAGATGAATAATGTCAGTGTATTGTTACATGAAAGAAGCAATTTCAACAAATGTATTACAAAACATATCAAACCTATGTGTGTCATATTTAGGAATAAAAGCATAGGAACTATGAACATCTTAACTTCAAAGTTAAAATAAGTTTAGCTGTTACTTTGAACCATGGATAAAAGAAAGCATAAATTATTGGATTAATTAAGGAATTAACAAGTGGCAGACAGCTGATGATAAATGATAAAAAATTGTCAATAAAAAAAAAATGTAAATAAAAAAAAAATGGAATCCAACAACTTAGATAGGTGAAAACAACAATAGCTAGAGTTTTTGATGCTTTTCTCTCTGACTTATTTGCCTGTACAGTTTTAACACCAGACACACTGGCAGCCTCTTTTGAAAATACCTTTCTGGCCTGTGATATGGCCACCACAAATATTTTCAAATAAAGTGTTATAATAATAGAGCACGGGACAACCATTGTAATTACAAAGTCAATTCTAGTACCCAAGACTGACCCTTCTACAGTAAAACATTCTTTCAAACACATACTGGGTACCTGTACATTTACAACTATTTTTGCAATAGCAGCATCGTATATGATACAAAAACACCAGGTAATGGATATACAACACATCATTCTTGTTATTGTTATTTTAGAGTGGTACATTAAGGGATCACACACAGCAACATAACGGTCAATAGATATCAAGACCAAACTGCCCACAGATAAAGAAGAACACAAACAAGTGATGTAGAAATAAAACCCACAGAAATATTCCCCAACATTCCAGCATGGTTCCATTAATGCTACAGTCATTAATGGTATCACAATCAGTCCCACCAGGAAATCTGCCACAGCCAGAGAGAGGATGAGCAGGTTGGTTGGAGTGTGGAGCTGCTTGAAGTGAGAGATGGAGATGATCACCAGCATGTTCAAAAATACTGTAACTGCTGAAATCAATGAGAAGAAGATGTACAGTGTTATGTAGATAGATGTCGATAGCAAAGCCTTTCTGCAAGAAGAGTTTCTGTCTTGAAAACAGTATTGAACATCTTCATGTGTCTCCATTTGTAATAAAGGGTCCAAATGCTGAGGTCCTGCTCCTGCTTGGTCCTATGTGTGACCCTGTCAGGTCAACCTTCTGACAAACTCTGAGCTCTGCCTCTCTATTTATCCCTGAATGACTGACACACACTCCCCTCCCCAGCGTCTCTCTGCACACACACACACACACACACACACACACACACACACACACACACACACACACACACACACAAGCCCACAAATGAACAAATGGTTGGATAAACAAATGATTTGTCAAAACATGATGTAATGTATTACAAGTTTGTATGTTGCTATGGCCACCTAGCCTGTCCTTCACTCTTACTGATAGTTAGAGATGAGAGAAAAAGGTACGTTTTATCAACTGAGGATTTAAAAGGGGAAAATATAGTATGGGTGATGATTTGGTCACCCAAAGGCTATTTTACATGGGAAATAGGATAACTGTTCAAGACTAACTGTTTTGATTGATGTCAGTGCTCAGATTGGACCATAATCCACAACCTCAGGAGACATAGCCTCGAAGCCGAGACTCCAAACAGAGGTTGTGTTTCTGATAAATGTTCTGACTTGCAACAAGCTAGCTATCATAAGACACAAAACTAACGGTGAGTGTAAGCAGCCAGCCAGCACCTCCCCTTCAAACCCCATCCTTAAACTCCTCCATCCTTCCAGTCGAGAGAACGAAACAAGATTTGGAAGGAAGGCCTTGAGAAACTACAGGACAGATCACGGCATATGTCATTTGGCCAGTGCATAAGAAAATTGATAGTCAGGCAGTTGATGAGATGGCATATCTTTATGGTGGATGCACTAATGGCATTCCATAGGAACATTACATAGACTTGTAAAAATGTCCATCTAAACTGAATTATGAAGTAATTATTCAGGTTGATGGAGCCAGTCACATTGTAGGGGACACATAATATTTGGCAGACATCACCCTACAGTATTTTGACCCAGTCATCCCCCTTGATGTTTTTCAGCCAGCCTGCTACCTTGAGAGTAATGCCCCATGTAACCTCTCACCATTACCAATAATAGGGGAGGTTAGCAGTTTTGGGGAGGTATGATCTTTGACCCTCTGTAACTTCCTCACTCATCACCCTGAGGACCAACCTGTATAGTCCACCACACCCTCTCTCATTAGCACCACCAGCTGTAGAGAGTTTTCTCCCTAATTGTCTAATTGTGTTCCCCGTACCCTGTGTGAACTTGTCCATTCCCTTTGTGTGATTATTCTGATGAAGGCCATTGAAGGCTGAAACGTTTACCTCTTAACCTTGCTTAAATAAAACAAATCATTTTTAATGGCGAGGAAGTGTTGTGCCTTTTCCTTTGCAATGATGATTCCATGTTTTGCACCTCGACTCACGTTGGTTGAGCACCCTCCTCTTCTTTCGATACAGTCATTATTTCTCAGCTTCATCAAGGTTGTCAATCATTTGATTAGATTTTTATTTTAATAAATCTAGTTAGATGCTGTTCTGTCAGATTCCAGAGGGTCCTGTTTGCGCTACGATACCATATACTTTATTGTCCATTTACATGGAAATTCATTTAGAGACAACAGCATAGAAATACACAAACACAACCCAATATATTACACGACGTACGGAAAACTGGAACGTTATTTTTTACTTTTATTTCTACAGGGTGAGACCAGGGTCTCATTTGCAAGGAAGCCCTGTGAACATGAACATACAATAAATACAACAATATTAATCAAAACAAACACAATTCTCAAAAACTGGCCTAGCGGTTAAAATGTTGGGCCAATAATCGAAAGGTTGCTGGTTCGAGTCCACGAGCCAACTAGGTGAAAAATCTGTTAACGTGCCCAAGGCACTTAACCCTAATTGTTCTTGTAAGTCGCTCTGGATAAGAGCGTCTGTTAAATGACAGACCAAAAAAATATGATTCCACCTCTGCATGATTCCTAAAGAGCATATTACATCAGCAAAACTCAACCTGTTACTGGGACTATATTGTCTCTACCGTGTAAGTGAACAACTCTTCAATGATATTAGTTTGACTTGTTTAAGTTTCTCACATCGAGGGTCCTGTTATTACTTGTAGTAATCATGGTCAAATTACCAACAGGGGTACCCCATTGATTTTGTTAGGCACTCTAACTCAGATATCATATTCAAAACTGCAAACATTTCTCTTCACCCTAAGACAAAATTAGTAGAATTGCAGGAAACTTGCTTTAAAACTGCAACATTTTATTTACTTCCCATGGCAAAATGTGTAGAATTGCAAGAATTTACAGTGCATTCGGAAAGTATTCAGTCCCCTTGACTTTTTTCACATTTTGTTACGTTACAGCCTTATTTTAAAATTGATTAAATAGTTTTTTCCTCCTCATCAATCTACACACAATACCCCATAATGACAAAGCAAAAACAGGATTTTTATAGAAATATAGAAATAGAAATATCACATTTATATAAGTATTCAGACGCTTTACTCAGTACTTTGTTGAAGCACCTTTGGCAGCGATTACAGCAGCGAGTCTTCTTGGGTATGACGCTACAAGCTTGGCACACCTGTATTTGGGGAGTTTCTCCCATTCTTCTCTGCATATCCTCTCAAGCTCTGTCAGGTTGGATGGGGAGAATCGCTGCACAGCTATTTTCAGGTCTCTCCAGAGATGTTAGATCGGGTTCGAGTCCGGGCTCTGGCTGGGCCACTCAAGGACATTCAGAGACTTGTCCCAAAGCCACTCCTGCGTTGTCTTGGCTGTGTGCTTAGGGTCGTTATCCTGTTGGTAGGTTATTATTCGCCCCAGTCTGAGGTCCTGAGCGCTCTGGAGCAGGTTTTCATCAAGGATCGCTCTGTACTTTGCTCCGTTCATCTTTCCCTTGATCCTGACAGCTGAGTTCCAGAAATCAGACAGGGCAGCTATTCTGAAGTTGCCCGTACCTGTATTCCAGCTGTCTCTTCAGATGTAGAAGACATACAGCAGTATGTGATCAGCTGAAGTGTGTATATGCACACTAAAACCAAATGGTTCTACATGGTGCCAGATAAGGGTTCTTTGTCTTGTAACCATAGCGGATCCCTTTTTGGTGCTATATGGAACCATTTTGGAAGGTTCTACCCTTTTTCTTTTTTTATCTTTTTATTTCACCTTTATTTAACCAGGGAAGCCAGTTGAGAACAAGTTCTCATTTACAACTGCGACCTGGCCAAGATAAAGCAAAGCAGTGCGATAAAAACAACAACACAGAGTTACATATGGGGTAAAAAAACATAATGTCAAAAATACAATAGAAAATATATATACAGTGTGTGCAAATGTAGTAAGTTATGGAGGTAAGGCAATAAATAGGCTATAGTGCAGAATAATTACAATAGTATTAACACTGGAGTGATAGATGTGCAGAAGATGATGTGCAAATTGAGATACTGGGGTGCAAATGAGCAAAATAAATAACAATATGGGGATGAGGTAGTTGGGTGGGCTAATTTCAGATGGGCTGTGTACAGGTGCAGTGATCGGTAAGGTGCTCTGACAACTGATGCTTAAAGTTAGTGAGGGAGATAAGAGTCTCCAGCTTCAGAGATTTTTGCAGTTTGTTCCAGTCATTGGCAGCAGAGAACTGGAAGGAATGGCGGCCAAAGGAGGTGTTGGCTTTGGGGATGACCAGTGAGATATACCTGCTGGAGTGCAGACTACGGGTGGGTGTTGCTATGGTGACCAATGAGCTAAGATAAGGCGGGGATTTGCCTAGAAGTGATTTATAGATGACCTGGAGCCAGTGGGTTTGGCGACGAATATGTAGTGAACCCTGTTCTCAACCAGCTTGTAGGGCATGTTTTGACAATAGATTTAGAAGTGGATATGAAAAAAAACATCACTTGAACCTGATTGGTCAACTCCCCCAGCCCTCCTGCATCAATTAACATAATATGTATGATTTTGGGGTGCTGCAGTTCAGTGTTGTGGCACTCTAACTTTGCCCATTCAGAGGGCTGGAAGAAAACTCAAAATCAGTCACCAAAGTTGTTGTACAAAAGTCAGGAATTCAATTAGTGAGGGATTAATATAGCACCATTCCTGTCAGTAGAGACCTTGAATAGTAGGAATATGTAAATACAAAAGTTTCAATGTAAAAAGGTTCAAAAGCAAGAATTTCGTAAAAATGTGCTTAACCAGGCGGTTGATACAGTGCATTGGGAAATTATTCAGACCCGTTGACTTTTTCCACATTTTGTTAGGTTACAGCCTTATTCTCAAATTGATTAAATAAATGTTTTTCCTCATCAGTCTACAAACAATACCCCATAATGACAAAGCGAAAACAGTTTTTTTGCAAATTGTGGCAGATAAAAAAACAAGGACCTTATTTAGATAAGTATTCAGACACTTTGCTATGAGACTCGAAATTGAGCTCAGATGCATCCTGTTTCCATTGATCATCCTTGAGATGTTTCTACAACTTGATTGGAGTCCACCTGTGGTAAATTCAATTGATTGGACATGATTTGGAAAGGTCCCCAAGAACACAGTGGAACCACCAAGACTCTTCCTAGAGCTGGCCGCCCGGCCAAACTCAGCAATCGGGGGAGATTTGCCTTGGTCAGGGAGGTGATGGTCACAGAGCACCATAATTCCCCTGTGGAGATGGAAGAACCTTCCAGAAGGACAACCATCTCTGCAGCACTCCACCAATCAGGCCTTTATGGTAGAGTGGCCAGACGGAAGCCACTCCTCAGTAAAAGGCACCTAAAGGACTCTCAGACCATGAGAAACAAGATTCTCTGGTCTGATGAAACCAAAATTGAACTCTTTGGCCTTGCTGCCAAGCGTCACGTCTGGAGGAAACCTGGCACCATCCCTGCGGTGAAGCATGGTAGTGGCAGCATCATGCTGTGTGGATGTTTTTCAGCGGCAGGGACTGGGAGACTAGTCAGGATCAAGGGAAAGATGAACGGAGCAAAGTACAGAGAGATGAAAACCTGCTCAAGAGCTCTCAGGACCTCAGACTGGGGTAAAGGTTCACCTTCCAACAGGACAACGACCCTAATCACACAGCCAAGACAACGCAGGAGTGGCTTCGGGATAAGTCTATGAGTAGCCCAGGCAGAGCCCTGACTTGAACCTGATCGAACATCTCTGGAGAGACCTGAAAATAGCTGTGCAGCGACGCTCCACATCCAACCTGACAGAGCTTGAGAGGATCTGCAGAGAAGAATGGGAGAAACTCCCCAAATACAGGTGTGTCACACCCAAGAAGACTTGAGGCTGTAATCGCTGCCAAATGTGCTTTAACAAAGTACTGAGTAAAGAGTCTGAATATTTTTTAATTTAAATTTTAGTCATTTAGCAGACGCTCTTATCCAGAGGGACTTACAGTTAGTGAGTGCATACATTTTTCATACTGCCCCCCCGTGGGAGTCGAACCCACAACCCTGGCGTTGCAAGCGCCATGCTCTACCAACTGAGCTACAGGAGGCCAGGCAGCATGCCCTTCAGTTCTGTAAATAGATGATTTCCTTCTTTATTTTTATACATTTGCTAACATTTCTAAAAACCTGTTTTTGCTTTGTCATTATGGGGTATTTGTCAAGGGGTGCTGAAGGTGGGTGTGGTGCAGGAATCAAGCGCAGGACGCAGAAGCTCAGTCCAAAAGACTTTAGTGAAATATTCACGTAGTAAATGAGCACAATAAGCCCGGAGGCGAAATAAAGGCGCACACAGGCGTCAAACAAACGGCGCACTAACATGTGCGAAAACCTCTCCAAACAACGGAGGGAAGATACGTAGCTCAAACACCAAACAGAAGCGTAATCACACACAACACCCAACACACACAACGAGAACTAAATAGGACACTAACGAGGACTAACTAGACACAGGTGTACAACATCAAGACAAAACCAAACGAACATGAAACATAGATCGGTGGCAGCTAGTACTCCGGGGACGACGACCGCCGAAGCCTGCCCGAACCAGGAGGAGGAGCAGCCTCGGCCGAAACCGTGACAGTACCCCCCCCCCTTGATGCGCGGCTCCAGCCGTGCGCCGACCCCGGCCTCGGGGACGACCAGGAGGACGCGGAGCAGGGCGCGCGGGATGGTCCCGGTGGAACTCCGACAGGAGAGATGGGTCTAGGATGTCCCTCCGCGGCACCCAGCACCGCTCCTCCGGGCCGTACCCCTCCCACTCCACGAGATACTGGAGACCCCGCATCCGGCGTCTTGAGTCCAAGATGGACCGAACGGTGTACGCCGGAGCCCCCTCGATGTCCAGTGGGGGCGGAGGAGTCTCTCCTATCTCACCTTCCTGGAGTGGACCAGCTACCACCGGCATGAGAAGAGACACATGGAACGAGGGGTTAATATTCTTATATTCAACAGGTAGATGTAACCTATAACACACCTCGTTCAATCTTCTCAGGACTTTAAAAGGCCCCACAAACCGCCGACCCAACTTCCGGCAGGGCAGGCGGAGGGGTAGGTTTCTGGTAGAGAGCCAGACTCGATCTCCGGGTGCGTACACCGGCCCCTCACTGCGGTGGAGATCGGGTCTGGCACTTTGCAATATTGTTGAGATGAGTAAAAATGCTATGCAAATTGCCATTCTAATATGGTATCGCTGGTACGACCCTCTTGACTTCTCAAGTGCCTGGTAGAATAAACAGCAAGTTAAAGAAAAACACTATTGGAAATTCCTGTTTGAGTTGTTAGTAACAGGAATTTAAGATGAAATAATTGTTTCTACATGTTTTTCTAGAAGAGACAGTTAAAGAGATAAAGAACCATGATCGTAAGGTTCTAATTGAAACCTTTATGGTGCTTTAAAGAACCCTTTCCTAAGTTTCTATAAAGGTTCTGGGAACTAGTGACAGGTTGCCACTTATCAAACCCATCAAATATTTTGCATAGATGGAGCTCCAAACAGAGGTTGTGTTTCTGGAAAAATGGTCAGCAATAAGCTAGTTATCATAAGATACAAAACTACCGGTGAGCGTTAAATGCCAGCCCTGCGATTCAAATGCAAAATCTTATACTGAAGTTCTTTAGACTTCCAATACTCAAGACAATGAAATTAGATTTGGAAGGAAGGCCTTGATAAACTACAGGACAGATGACGGCATATGTCATTTGGCCAGTGCATGAGAACATTGACAGTCAGGCAGTTGATAAGATGGCATATCTTTATGGTGGATGCACTAATGGCATTCCATAGGGACATTACATAGACTTGTAAAAATGTCCATCTGAACTGAATTATGAAATAGTTATTCAAGTTGAGGGAGACAGTTACATCATTGGGACACATATTTGCCAGACATGACCCTGTAGTATTCTGATCCAATCATATTTTTGTATGGTTTGTTGTTCTCTCAGATTCCAGAGGGACCTGTTAGCACTACCATGCAAGGCTCTGTAATAACGACACATATATCACTCTACCAATTAAAGGTGTCAAACAACACACACACACACACACACACACACACACACACACACACACACACACACACACACACACACACACACACACACAAACACACACACACACACACACACACACACACACAGTCAGTCAGTCACACAAACACACACACACACACACACACACACACACACACACACACACACACACACACACAGTCAGTCAGTCAGTCACACACACACACACACACACACACACACACACACACACACACACACACACACACACACACACACACACACACACACACACACACACAGTCAGTCAGTCAGTCAAACAACACACAAACACACACACACACACACACACACACACACACACACACACACACACAGTCAGTCAGTCAGTCAAACAACACACACACACACACACACACACACACACACACAACACACACACACACACACACACACACACACACACACACACACACAATTCTCAAAAAGCATATTGCATCAGCAAAACTCAACCTGTGCTTTGTGCCTGATGTCACTGGGACTATAGTGTCTCTAGTGGGTAAGTGAACAACTCTTGAATGATGTTAGTTTGACTTGTTTAAAGTTCATCACACCAGAGGCTCCTGTTATCACCTATATGCAAGGCTCTGGAATAATGAATTCTACCAATGAAAGGTGTTGGAGACACACACACAAATGCTTTACTCCAGGGCCCCAATAAGGCCCTAATACAACATAAACATTGGAAGTGAACCTGTGTACACCTCTAGTGTTTTTTGTGTGCATGAACATGAGTACAACTTCCATTAGGACCCCCCCCCCCCAGTCAGCCTGAGTACAACCCTCACCCCTAAACAAGTCCCCCCTGCACAGGTCAAGAATCCCACCTCTGAGTCATGACTCTGTCACAGATAGGATCTGAACCCTGGTATCCTGAGTGGAAAACAAACATCTGAACCAATTGGCCAAGAAGGAAGTACCTCTTGGACCGAGGGTGACACTGATTTTGAAGTACCAGGCAGGGCTACCTCATCACGAGAGCATGAGTCTGACTCACCTCTGTTACACATTTTACATTTTAGTCCTTTAGCAGATGGGGGGGGGGGGGGGGGGGGGTTGTGGCATTAATCAAGACACTCATGAAGAAGTAGGTTTTCAGACTACACCTCCCCCTAACCTCACTCAAGTCTCTATGCTAAAACCCTCTCTATAGTGTTTTAGACAAATAACAAACAATTCTACAAATAGCGTTTTTTATATGGACTCAGTGGAACATCCTGATTTCATGGGGCATGATCCAGGATTAATACAGCTAAACAACAATCCAGGATCAACACTGTTATATGACGATCCAGGATCAACACAGATATATGACGATCCAGGATCAACACAGATATATGACGATCCAGGATCAACACAGATATATGACGATCCAGGATCAACACAGATATATGACGATCCAGGATCAACACAGATATATGACGATCCAGGATCAACACAGATATATGACGATCCAGTGTTAACATTTACATCATTTAGCAGATGCTCTTATCCAGAGCGACTTACAAATTGGTGCATTCAACTTATGATAGCCAGTGGGACAACCACCTTTTTTTTTACTGCAGAGTGAAACAGAGAGGACAGAGAGGGATAACTTGTATGTCTGTTCTATGAAGTCAATTTCTAGCGGAACTTTCTGTGTTAGCTGATAGGTGTGTCTGTATTAAACTGAGTAGAGACCATCTGTCTAAATAATGCAGGAGACTCCCTAAATATATCGGTTTTATTTATGAGTGATGAAATAAAAATAACATGGCAAATGAAACTTTCCTAAAATCCACTCCACCAACCACTCTCTTAAATGTTATATAAATCCCCTTTTCACACCTCCTAATGTATTTCATCTGCAGCCACATTCATCCACCTCCATGTCCTGGTAGTGGCATAGGACTATGTTGTTGTTGTTGTCGTAGTAGAGCATGGAGACAGGTGACAGGTGGATGGGTACACTGCAGGGCTGGGGCGTGCTGCGGGGGTCCAGGGACTGTACCAGTGTCTGCAGGACGGCGTGGTTGGTGCAGTTCAGGCTCTCAGCGTGCCAGTAGTTGGCCAGTAGCTCTGCGGAGTGATGGTCCAGTCCTGCCAGCCCTTGAAGTCGATGTAGAGGCGGCTGGGTTTACACACATTGCTGGGCGTCACCGGGAGGTAGACGGCGCTCCTCTTCCGCCAAGAGCGGCACTGCAGAGGGTTCAGGGATACAGCCACCAGTGAGGCCTGGAACTCTGGGAGGGTTACGGTCGGCCTGAACGGGGCGGCGTTCCCCCGGGTGGTGGGACATGAAGGTATCCGTGGTCAGGGTGTGGCTGCAGCTTCAGTACCAGTCCGTGTGACCCAGTTTACGCCAGTTCTCTGCCAGGGTGAGGGATTTGGCTCTGGATCCTGCTGCGCCAACTAGGACAGCACCAGCCTGCGGTTGGCCTTGTGTCTCACTCCCCTCAGGGTTGCATGCAGCACCTTGTACAGGGACACACTGAGGACCTGTGGGACTGGAACTTGATTTCCAGCTGCGCCAGAGAGAGTTGCTCCACTGGCTGCAGGACGGACATGTTGAAGAACAGATGTTTCTCCACACAGCCGTGGCAGCTGCCACTTCATCCTGACACCAGTCTACCTTCAGGGGACAGACAAAACAAGACATATTAGCTTTGGACTCTAGAACTAGGACCTAGATTTCAAATAACGGTATTTGGAATGTCACAGTCAATATAGGCCCAAAAAATGTTGGGGCACAAAAACAATGGGAGTGAATGAACTCCAGATGCAATTGTTTTCAAAAACCAAATGGAATCTCTTAAATACCATATTCAATACCATGTTCAAAAATGGATTGTGTATGCTTATGTATCTCAATAATGACTTGATATCAAATTGTAATTTTGAGAATATTTAAAATCCAGATATTCCTCTATCATCCACTGATCTTAAAGGGGCAATCTGCAGTTCAAACAACAACAAAGCGGGTACCACGCCACTTTTTTAGGTAAACAGGTTAAGGATGGGGCTGGGGAAATGTAACCATTCTCACATTCATAAAATGGGCTATGCAAGGACTGACCATCCATGAAATCAAAATCATAGTTTTAAACCACATTCCAAAAATTACTGGGGGGAGGGTGGGTACAACTCGAGATGCACACCCCTCCCCAGCATGAAACATATTTTCACATGACCCTCTCCTTTTACTTGAAAAAAGTTACAATACCCTCCACCTTCATTGAATTAACTCAATCATGATTATGACCAGTAACAGTGAGACAGTAGGCCTACCTCCTTACTGTGATCAGGGGGTGAAAAAATAAAATCACCTTTATAATAGAGCATTGCATCCATCTATCATCGTATTTGTGGGTCCTGGAAAAAAGGCCTTTTCTAAACAGATTTCATGTAATTCTGAAGAAATTAGCAGAATGTATTTTGTGCATTGATTGGGTAAAAACAGGGACCATATCCTACTTTTTATTAGTTCAAAAAAAGACAAAAAGACCCAAAAGAAAGGCGGATTTAGAAAACAGAAGTTTGAGGGAAGAACGGACAGAGACACATTACCTTTCCACCATAGACAGAGGCCCGACGCAGAACAATTTAAACTTAACTGATGGCTACTCTTCTGTGGCTTAACCCAACAAGAGGAGGTCACAAGTGCGTCCCTAAAAGCTGCCTGGGTTTAAAGATCGTCTCTTTTACAGAAAGTGAATAGCTCAATTGATAGCGACAGAGTTACACATTGTAGACATATTAGATCACTTTCCAATAAAGGTAATTTGCTCAGCCTCTGAATGTCATGGAGATGAAACAGATAGAGATACCCTCATGAGCATCGGAGTCACGGCTTTCTTGCGCATTTTGCAGCTCATTTCTAGCAGAAAGCATCACGGAGGAAAGCGTCGTTATAGATCACTTTATATAATCAGAATCCGTTTTAGTTTCTTCAAAACCTTAAGCTAACAAGATGTATGCTTTTTGACATTTTCTTTATCAAAACGTAGGCTATGGCATACCCTCACATAGACCTACCCCCTCATTAGAACCCTGGTTTTAACTTCACACACCAAGCCCTTCATGGACACAGAGGTATTTAAGGAGTGGAGACACTATTGGAGGAATTGACCGACAAATCTATTGATAGTGTATAATTTCATCTGTCAAACAGGTAGGCATATCTCTTATTTCTTATATAGGCAGAAATAGGTTCTGAAACAAAGACCTCTTGTTGTTAGTTAATTCAAATTAAAATGAAGACAGTTGAAATGAATTACTCGACTTACCTAGTTTCAGCACATCGTCAGGACAGAACGGCTGACTCCAGTAAGACAAGAGGTGGCGGTCTGTGTATATTTGTAAACAACAGCTGGTGCATAAAATCTAATACTAAGGAAGTCTCAAGGTTTTGCTCGCCTGAGGTAGAGTATCTCATGATAAGCTGTAGACCACACTATTTACCAAGATACTTTTCTTCTATATTTTTCATAGCTGTCTATTTACCACCACAAACCAATGCTGGCACTAAGACTGCACTCAATGTATAAGGCCATAAATCAACAGGAAAACGCTCATCCAGAGGCAGCGCTCCTAGTGGCCGGGGACTTTAATGAAGGGAAACTTAAATATGTTCTACCTCATTTCTACCAGCATGTTAAATGTGCAACAGAGGAATAAAAAAAAACTCTAGACCACCTTTACTCCACACACAGAGACGCATACAAAGCTCTCCCTCGCCCTCCATTTGGCAAATCTGGCCATAATTATATCCTCCTGATTCCTGCTTACAAGGACAAACTAAAGCAGGAAGCACCAGTGACTCGGTCAATAAAAAAGTGGTCAGATGAAGCAGATGCTAAGCTACAGGACTGTTTTGCTAGCACAGACTGGAATATGCTTAGAAGAAATCCCGCTTAGAAGAAATCCCGCTATGCCCTCCGACGAACCATCAAACAGGCAAAGAGTCAATACAGGACTAAGATTGAATCGTACTACACCGGCTCTGACGCTCGTCGGATGTGGCAGGGCTTAAAAACTATTACAGACTACAAAGGGAAGCACAGCCGCGAGCTGCCCAGTGACACAAGCCTACCAAACGAGCTAAATCACTTCTATGCTCGCTTCGAGGCAAGCAACACTGAAGCATGCATGAGAGCACCAGCTGTTCCGGATGACTATGTGATCACGCTCTCCGTAGTCGATGTGAGTAAGACTTTTAAGCAGGTCAACATTCACAAGGCCGCAGGGCCAGACGGATTACCAGAACGTGTACTCCGAGCATGTGCTGACCAACTGGCAAGTGTCTTCACTGACATTTTCAACATGTCCCTGACTGAGTCTGTAATACCAACATGTTTCAAGCAGACCACCATAGTCCCTGTCCCCAAGAACACTAAGGTAACCTGCCTAAATGACTACCGACCCGTAGCACTCACGTCTGTAGCCATGAAGTGCTTTGAAAGGCTGGGCATGGCTCACATCAACACCATTATCCCAGAAACCCACTCCAATTTGCATATAGCCCCAACAGATCCACAGATGATGCAATCTCTATTGCACTCCACACTGCCCTTTCCCACCTGGACAAGAGGAACACCTACGTGAGAATGGTATTCATTGAATACAGCTCAGCGTTCAACACCATAGTGCCCTCAAAGCTCATCACTAAGCTAAGGATCCTGGGACTAAACACCTCCCTCTGCAAATGGATCCTGGACTTCTGACGGGCCGCCCCCAGGTGGTAAGGGTAGGTAACAACACATCTGCCACGCTGATCCTCAACACGGGGGCCCCTCAGGGGTGCGTGCTCAGTCCCCTCCTGTACTCCCTGTTCACCCACGACTGCATGGCCAGGCACGACTCCAACACCTTCATTATGTTTGCCGACGACACAACAGTGGTAGGCCTGATCCCCGACAACGATGAGACAGCCTATAGGCAGGAGGTCAGAGACCTGGCCGTGTGGTGCCAGGATAACAATCTCTCCCTCAACGTGACCAAGACAAAGGAGCTGATTGTGGACCACAGGAAAAAAAAGAGGACTGAGCACGCCCCCATTCTCATCGACGGGGCTGTAGTGGAACAGGTTGAGAGCTTCAAGTTCCTTGGTGTCCACATCACCAACGAACTAACATGGTCCAAACACACCAAGACAGTCGTGAAGAGGGCACGACAAAGCCTATTCCCCCTCAGGAGACTGAAAATATTTGGCATGGGTCCTCAGATCCTCAAAAAGTTATACAGCTGCACCATCGAGAGCATCCTGACTGGTTGCATCACTGCCTGGTATGGCAACTGCTCGGCCTCTAACCGCAAGGCACTACAGAGGGTAGTGCGTACGGCCCAGTACATCACTGGGGCCAAGCTTCCTGCCATCAAAGACCTCTATACCACGCGGTGTCAGAGGAAGGCCCTAAAAATTGTCAAAGACTCCAGCCACCCTAGTCATAGACTGTTCTCTCTGCTACTGCACGGCAAACGGTACCGGAGCGCCAAAACTAGGTCCAAAAGGCTTCTCAACAGCTTCTACCCCCAAGACATAAGACTCCTGAACAGCTAATCATGGCTACCCGGACAATTTGCAATGCCCCCCCACCCCCACCCCGTCCTCCTTTTTTACTCTGCTGCTACTCTGTTTATTATTTATGCATAGTCACTTTAACTCTACCCACATGTACATATGACCTCAACTACCTCAACTAGCCGGTGCCCCCGCACATTGACTCTGCACCGGTACCCCCTGTATATATAGCCTCGCTACTGTTATTTTATTTTACTGCTGCTCTTTAGTCATCTGCTTTTCATTTTTTTGCTTAACACTTTTTTCCTTTTTTTTTTTCTTTGCATTGTTGGTTAAGGGCTTGTAAGTAAGCATTCCATTGTAATGTCTACACCTGTTGTATTCGGGGCATGTGGCAAATACAATTTCATTTGATTTGATTTGATGTCTTGTCCACCTCCCGTTTGATTGTGCCGTGGCTGCGGCTTCACATTTCAGCACCACAAAGTTGTCACGGTTACTCAAATCTGGCTTATTGTGAAGTCAATAATTCTGATAAAAAAGCCTCATCATGGGCAATGAAACATGTTGGTTCTTGGCCTTTGTAGAGGCAAACATCAAAGGTGTGAGTGTTATGAAAATGAGCCCAGAGCAGACAGTGGCAACCCATGTGGGTACTGTGGCGTAGGCTAGTGTATAAGGAGAGTAGCCTACCAAAACCCCTTGATAGGGGAGACGCATGCAAGCAGACGGGGAAAGTTGTCTTCGATGGAATAAATTATATAGGAAAACCTGCAAAACGGCGAATGTAAACCAGGGAACAAACCACACTCCCCTGTGCCCACTAAATATCCACACAACCCTCCCCCAAGCTAAAAATAAGTTACACCCTCCTCCCCTATTTGGGGAGTAGCAGGGGGGAGTGGGGATCAGGTAGCTGACTAGTGGTGGCTCCAGGGGGGAGGGGGGAGGATCAGGTAGCTGACTAGTGGTGTCTCCAGGGGGGAGGAGGGAGCAGGTAGCTGACTAGTGGTGTCTCCAGGGGGGAGGAGGGAGCAGGTAGCTGAC